ATCCATTTTTAGCGCCCCTTTTTCTTTTTTTCAACTCTCAAACTCATTATTTTCATCAATAAAATAATATCAAAGCACATTTTGGCGCCCCTAACTAGCTGGCGCCCGGGGACATCTGCCCCCCCCCCCCCTGCTCCCACCACGCTATGCCTCTGATCTCCATGCAGCTGATGAACCATTAAGTAACCACCAGATTTTTTTGTTGGGGGGTTTAACTACATGGCCTTGACCATGGGATTTCAGTTGCAAGGCAACAGATGTGTGTTTTCCTTCACTTGGAAGGAGTCCCTTTGGGATGAGAGTGCCCAGGTCAACCACTCCAACACCCCCCCCCCCAAACCCGAATTGGTACGACTGACCAAAGGTATGCAGAGAATGAAAAGCTTTACCTTCACAAGTTTTATTATCCTTGCCAAGCTGGTAGCCAAAGTTACAAAAACACTTGGGTGTTTTGTCTTCCACTGTGCATCCATGACTGCAGTTCAAATGATCAGGACTTCCACAGACATTTTTATCTGGAGAAATGCCAAAATTGAGTTAGCTAAAATTAAAAACTAAATCACCTTGTTACTAGACAGATTCAGATAGGCTGTGTTAACTAATCTATTAACCAACAAATGGATGAGAGAGAAATTTAGTGTTATAGTTTTCTTATAATGAAAATAAGTTTGTTGATATTTTTCATTGTACAAAAAAAAATCAACTTCCTTGCCGCGTTCAATATTAATAAATAATAAGTTATATGTCGTGTCTTAGTCAGCTTGGGAGTTAGGTTTAACATAATTAAAGATTCAGTTATTTATAAGAATCTAAAAGAAAGTCCTAAGATTATCTTTCATTAAATTATCATAAACTTAATGAACTACTTCATAAACAAACGACGGAAGCATTTTCTTATCTTTTTTATATACTCTGGAATCCCTTTTACTGGACAATTATAAAAAACATAATAAAAAATATACAGCTATGTTAACTTACCTTGAATACACTCCCGTCTGTCATCGGACAGTACAAACCCATTATGACACCTGCAGTTATAGCTACCCACAGTGTTGACACACGTGTGTTGACACGCAGCTAACCCCAGTTGGCACTCATCAATATCTAAATGAAGCAAAAGGCAAGCGTATTAATTTTAACTTTGAATGACTTTTGATTGTTCCATATGCATTAACGGAACCTTGGCTACATAAATGAGTTTTGGGATACGCTGGTTAGATTATCCATATATTTCTCTAGCTTTTTTTTTTTTTTTGGTTTTTTGTTTTATATTTTTAGTAATGAAAGTTTACTTAGTGTCAAATTAAGTTATCAGTTTTATAAAATAAAGTTTGCAATATAAAATAATGAAACATAAAAACACTTATATTATTAAANATGCAGAGAATGAAAAGCTTTACCTTCACAAGTTTTATTATCCTTGCCAAGCTGGTAGCCAAAGTTACAAAAACACTTGGGTGTTTTGTCTTCCACTGTGCATCCATGACTGCAGTTCAAATGATCAGGACTTCCACAGACATTTTTATCTGGAGAAATGCCAAAATTGAGTTAGCTAAAATTAAAAACTAAATCACCTTGTTACTAGACAGATTCAGATAGGCTGTGTTAACTAATCTATTAACCAACAAATGGATGAGAGAGAAATTTAGTGTTATAGTTTTCTTATAATGAAAATAAGTTTGTTGATATTTTTCATTGTACAAAAAAAAATCAACTTCCTTGCCGCGTTCAATATTAATAAATAATAAGTTATATGTCGTGTCTTAGTCAGCTTGGGAGTTAGGTTTAACATAATTAAAGATTCAGTTATTTATAAGAATCTAAAAGAAAGTCCTAAGATTATCTTTCATTAAATTATCATAAACTTAATGAACTACTTCATAAACAAACGACGGAAGCATTTTCTTATCTTTTTTATATACTCTGGAATCCCTTTTACTGGACAATTATAAAAAACATAATAAAAAATATACAGCTATGTTAACTTACCTTGAATACACTCCCGTCTGTCATCGGACAGTACAAACCCATTATGACACCTGCAGTTATAGCTACCCACAGTGTTGACACACGTGTGTTGACACGCAGCTAACCCCAGTTGGCACTCATCAATATCTAAATGAAGCAAAAGGCAAGCGTATTAATTTTAACTTTGAATGACTTTTGATTGTTCCATATGCATTAACGGAACCTTGGCTACATAAATGAGTTTTGGGATACGCTGGTTAGATTATCCATATATTTCTCTAGCTTTTTTTTTTTTTTTTGGTTTTTTGTTTTATATATTTAGTAATGAAAGTTTACATAGTGTCAAATTAAGTTATCAGTTTTATCAAATAAAGTATGCAATATAAAATAATGAAACATGAAAGCACTTATATTATTAAAATGCTAAGAATTGGCTTGCAACTGTGTGTTTAAGTTTAACATTAAGTTTAACCATGTTTTCATTAAAGGAGACTAGAGTTTATTCTCCATCCATGAGTTCATAAATAGTAATAAGTAAGAAAACCCAATCAAAACTGACCATGGCAAGTACTAGCGCTCTTTCTGGCAAATCCTTTCTTGCATTCACATCTGTAACTGCCATTGGTATTAATGCAATTCTCAAGAGTAAGGTCACAGCGGTGGGATGAGATGGCCAAACATTCATCAATATCTGCAGAGAGGCAAGGAGATATCACATTGGTTATTTATTTATTTATTTAGGCATTTTTATATACGCTTACCTTAAAGCTCTAAGCGCTTTACAATTATTAAAAACATGTACATATTAACAAGAAGAGAGAAATTGTTTTAGTCTACTGTAAAAAGTAATGTACACAAAACAGTTATTTCTTTGATTCCAAAACATAGCCAATTAATGGATTCACAGGTAATTTAATATTATCAATACTTGTATTTTGACAATAAATAGGTAGATTTGTTAAGTGTCTAAATTAATTAGATTTATTGAAATAGAACCCTAAAAATTCATTTATTTTATAATAATTGTGGTGTAAACAAATTTGTTAAAAAATTTACTTTTTAAAGGGCTATGGAAATATAAGCATAATTAATCAAGGAAGAGTCTCTACAGGGAAAAGCATTGAACTAAACACAAATGTTTATGACTCTAGCAAAAAGCAGTTTAAAATTGAAAAGAAAGATCTAGAAAGCAAAAAGATAAATTTTCTAAATGTGGGTAGCTTGGAGGAAAAGTTGAGCATATGAAATTAAAATAAGGGAAATGTAATTGAAACAATTATAAATATTTTCCTATTTTATATATAATCATTTACCTGTGCACACTTCATTTTTCCTTTCACTACCAGGATGACACTGGCAAGAGAAGCCACCCTCAGTATTGACACACAGTTCATTCACCGAGCAGCTGTTGTTTTGCCGTTTGCACTCATCAATGTCTGAGTTACAGTCGTCTCCCTCCCATCCTGGATTGCACCGGCAGCCGTGTGCTGGGTCACAAGATCCCCGCCCATTGCACTGACACCGGTTGCTGCAGTTGTCACCCCACAGGGACTTGTCGCAGGCTGTCAAAATAAATAAAGAACGTTTGAAAAATAAATCCTTTGTGAACATGCCACTATAATGAAATTGTTTTAAAATATCATCCTTATTTGTTTTTATTAGAAGAATGTTAACAAATAATTAGCTATGCACTAAACTGAAAAAAACAAACTGTGTTCTTATCTCATTCTTTCTCATGTTTCTCAGGAAAGAATGAATCAATGAAAATAGAAAATATTTCTCAGCTAAATTAAAACTTCAGTTCAAATAATCGTTGATTAAAAACCAAAGAAATATTAAAAGCTGATAAAATTAAATGTGAAATAGCTAATGAATTCTCTACAGTTTCCCCTTAAAATAACATCAGTCCTAATGATACTGACTTGTGACATCCTCTTCTGATATCATTTCAGTACAAAGTTTTCATTAATGGGGTACACATGAACTCACGTGTACATGAAGTTTTGTCCCCCGCCAAATAAAACCCAGCAGAACAAGAACATGTAAAACCTCCGTCATTGTCCGTACAGTTTTGACTGCACGGCCTCTTATCCAGCTGGCATTCATCAACATCTGAAATGTTTAATGTAATAATAATGCAACTCAATGCACAGATTAGTTTCTGTTTACTTTGATATTGTTGAAAGAACGGAAGGGACCAAAAACACACAAAAAAAGTCCATGGACTTATTGGAGAAGAAGTCTCAAAAAGATAAGTCAATGGAAATGAAAACTAGGTATAACTGTAAGAGAAGAAAAATAATACAAGTCTAATGAGCATGATATATGGGTCAGTGTATTAAAAAATTAGCAGGCTTTGACAATGAAGGATATTGAATTATTTTTCACTTTCTAATTTCCATGACAATTTCAAAAAGATTTTGAAAATCATGATAAAATTATTATTTTTTTGTTGATAGATTGCAAGCATTAATAAATAAATGAATGAGTTATTTGTAGAATGTTATTCGTCCATATGGGTCATTTACTTGAACATGTTTTGTTATCTGCGTTCAGACTATATCCAGATTTGCACGTGCAGGAAGCCACATCTTTTTCTACTAGACAAAGCTGGGAGCAGTTAAGACTTTTACATTTTTCTTCATTTGTTTCTTCTGTAAAACAGTAGATAAAGAACTCAGAAAATTATGTCAGAACTTTTGATGACGTTTTCAAAATATATTATAGCCTATAGATCAATTTGTTATATTTCTTACTATTTAAATAAGAAAAAAAATAATGCACTGCAGTTCTATAACACAGCTGTTACACATATTAATTTTCAAAAATAAAATCATTTTACGTTTCAGAACTATTTTAAGCGACCAATGGTTGAGGTTAAAATTTATTTTTTATATTTTATAAAATTTTGTTTTTTTTTATTACCCAAACCTCAACCCCCCCCCCCACCCCCCCCCCCCCAACAAAAAAATTCTCATCCTATGCTTAAGAATAAAATGTACAACTTCCTACCTTGTGTACAGTTCCCGTCCTATGCTTAAGAATAAAATGTAAAACTTCCTACCTTGTGTACAGTTCCCATCCTATGCTTAAGAATAAAATGTAAAACTTCCTACCTTGTGTACAGTTCCCGTCCTATGCTTAAGAATAAAATGTACAACTTCCTACCTTGTGTACAGTTCCCATCCTATGCTTAAGAATAAAATGTAAAACTTCCTACCTTGTGTACAGTTCCCATCCTATGCTTAAGAATAAAATGTACAACTTCCTACCTTGTGTACAGTTCCCATCCTATGCTTAAGAATAAAATGTAAAACTTCCTACCTTGTGTACAGTTCCCATCAACCAATTTGTAGCCAGCAAAGCAGCTGCATGAGTATCCACCAGGTGTATTGTTGCACCTCTGTTCACAATTGTGAGTTTGCTCAACACATTCGTTGATCTCTAGGAAAAGAACAGTCGTTAGCCTTTAATTCAAACTATGAGTTACAGGGCAAATCTTCTATCCATCAAATGATCTAAAAAAAAAAATTAGCAAGCCAATCAATAAATGGCCTGGGGTTAGATTTTTAAAAAAATTGGGCATGAAATTAAAAAGTAGAAATATTAGTGATGTGCTGACGACTTTAATACAATTGATCTCTATTTTAAAATTATAATTGGCAGCCCTGAGAAAAAAATCATAAGAAATAATGTCTTACCTATGCATGATTTCTGGTCAGTAGAATTAAGTCTGTAACCTGTGTGACAGAAGCAGACGAAAGAGCCCACTGTGTTGGTACAGTTGTGATCACAAGTGCTGCTATTGCTGCATTCATTGATGTCTGATGACGACAAATGCACACATTATTTTCAAATGCCAGTGAGTGATTTTATAATAATATACTCAAGTGTCTTTTTTTTTATTCCAAAAAATTCTTTTATGTGAAACAAAACAGATCAGGAATGTAGGTTTGACGCATTAATTTAATGGAGATGATAAGTTTGAGCAGGAAACATGACTAAGTCATTAACAGTGAAGTTAACATTCTTCATGACCTTAATTGAACAGACACCAATAACAAACAACTAGATGCAATATTCAAACTGAGAATATGGCTGTTGCTGATAAATCTATTATTACAGACATATGCTGTGTGATATTTTGATAATCTATGTTATTTTAATAGATAAGCTGTGTGACTTTTTGATAAATCTATTATTACATACATTAAGCTGTATAACCTTTTGATAAATCTATTATTAAATACATATGCTGTATAACTTTTTGATAAATCTATTATTACATATATAGGCTGCATGACTTTCTAAAATATCACAAAACTTGGTGAAAGAAATGAGTCATTAAACATGTTAGGTACCTTTTCACATTGTTTGATTGCAAATTATAATATATGCCATGAAACAGCAGTAACCTATTTATCTAACCAATTTTTTTTTTATTGAATAAAATATTCCCATCTTTCACAAGTTGCATTTACTGAACAATTAAACACAAACCAGCACCTGTACAGAAGTTGACTTCCTCAATAAGTTTAGCTTCAAATCCAGCTGGGCAAGGCCCACATTTGTATCCAATAGGGTTGTCCCATTGTTCTGTTGCAGTCATATCCGTGCAGTTTTGTTGCTTGGCGCAAGGACTGTCACTGCAGCCGTCAAAATCTTCTTCACAATTGGAGCCTAAAGATGATGCACACAAGAAAAACAAAATGTTCCCAAGTTGGAAGGAGACAATCAATTTATGGGATAGATCATTTTTATGTCAAGGACCATCCATAGAGGGGTATCCATAAGGTGCATCCATAAGGGACCACCCATAAAGGGGTATCCATAATAGCCCATCCATAAATGATGTCCTCATCACAATTTTGTCAGACAGTTTAGACACCCTTCAATTGATCATCAAAAAAATAATGACCACCACCAGCTCCCCCCCCCCCTCCCCGTCATTCCCAATGTGTGACATCCTTATGGATGGTCCTTAAAAGATTAACAAGATGTGAGTAACTGACCACCACCAGCTCCCCCCCCTCCCCGTCATTCCCAATGTGTGACATCCTTATGGATGGTCCCTAAAAGATTAACAAGATGAAATAGCCCATCCATTAATGATGTCCTCATCACAATTTTGTCAGACAGTTTAGACACCCTTCAATTGATCATCAAAAAAATAATGACCCCCCCCAGCTCCCCCCCCCCCTCCCCGTCATTCCCAATGTGTGACATCCTTATGGATGGTCCTTAAAAGATTAACAAGATGTGAGTAACTGACCACCACCAGCTCCCCCCCCCTCCCCGTCATTCCCAATGTGTGACATCCTTATGGATGGTCCCTAAAAGATTAACAAGATGTGAGTAACTGACCACCACTAGCTCCCCCTCCCTGTCATTCCCAATGTGTGACATCCTTATGGATGGTCCCTAAAAGATTAACAAGATGTCAGTAACTGGACCTTTTTTTTTTTACTTAAGAAATCACTTGTCACAATATTACATTCTTCCTTTAATTACCTGTATATGCAGGCAAACACTTGCAGGGATGAACGCCAAAATTATATCCTACAGCAGAATGAGCAATCACTGTTTCATTGTCACAATGTCCATGTCCACTACAGTCTGGGCACACCAACAATGATATTGGTAATACATTGGAAAAACCGCCTTTAGAATCCTTCACCTGCACACTGAAATGAATAATTAAGTTATGTTACTTTTTCTTTAAATCTGTTTTTAGTATAAATCTTAGACTTGAATAAAGAAGCATGCTGAAGAAAAATAAATGAATACAAGTACTTTTATAATTTTAAAACACTTTTACAGTAATGATACAGCTTCCATAACTTTTATAATTTTTCATAAGTTGCACACGGTTTATTGGGTTATTGATTGGGGATGGTCTTAAATTCCTTATAGAGAAAAAAATAAATTTGTGCATGCTTGATTGAGGTTAGGATGGTGATCCATTTATTACAAAATAAGTAATTTTCTACATCTCATTTATGATTTTTTTAAAAAATTTGTTTAATGGGTACAATAAATGAGTTACAATTTAAATTCCTAACATGCAAAAACACACAAGATGGTAATTGTCATTATACACAAGATGATAATTGTCATCATACAAAAGATTATACTTGACATTATACACACGGAAATCAAAAGACCAAAATAGAGCACGAAATTTTTATCATGAAGGGGCAAGTTATTGAAGAGTTTTTTTAACATGAAGGCTAAATCTAGGCAAAGTCTTCACATAGGTAAACAAGGCTGTTATAAAGAAGGAAGATAACAAGACACAAAAGTTGTTTAAATGGAGACAGCTGCGTGAGTGGGTTTGGAGAGTATGGCCAACAGAAAAAGTAACTCTGGATGGCCTGGGTTACATCAAGGGAAATTAGGTACTAAAAGCAATCTTATTAAAAGGAGACAGGGAGATAAAGCAATCGTACATGATCTCCACAGGTTTAGTCGGATCAGGATAATGGTAGTGAACTGTTCCATTGGTTGTTATGGTAACGTTGTCTGATTTACTGACGAGGAGGTAAGTGACGGCATCCCCATCGGCATCCTCGGCCTGCACTGTGATTGATGCTGGCTGACCAGCGGTCACCTCCCATTGGCTGTTGTTGTTAAGGCCAGATGGGATTCTTATGGTTGGCAATTGATTTTCTTGAGAAAAAAGGAAAGAAAATATGTTAAAAAACATACAAAAAGAGAGTGTGTAGGTTACAAAAATAAAGAACACAGCTTTTCCCCCCCATAGTTTCATGGATTAGCTGACAAAAATACAATAAATTCACACTATAACTTGCCTTGATAAAAAGAGTTATAATAAAAGGAATATGAGAATTTACAATGCTCACTTTACACTTTCTAGTTTGGGACATTGATCAGGTTTAAATGGAGGGGGGGGGGGGGGGAAGGGGAATAGAATTGAATGAGGAAGTATTTCAAGTTCTTAATATGGAGCTATATGTGAAGCTGCTCTGCAAAGTTCGTTTGGCTATGGTGTGAAGGAAAAAAAAAGTTTATAAAAATATTTGGAGAAAGCGCTTATAATGTTAAGAGTAACATAAAAAATTTTGGGCTGAAAAAAAATGTTAAGACAAATTGTATAAATGCTTCTCCCGTCCGCGTTTAGCAGGAAGGTACACTTGGGATGGTCGCAAGGTGTGAGGTCTGCTGTAGGCTCACAATATGGACTTTCAGGGTGTCCCTAACATGATCAATCCACCAATGGCGTGGTCTTCCTTCTGGCCATGAAACAGGAGTGCCTGCTATTGTAAGCTTGCAATGCAGGTTGCTTAACAGGTATTATTCTAACCAGGTGGGCGAACCAGTTTATTTGTTTTTGATCCCTACACTGGGTGGTTGCGGTGTTGCCACGGTCCCAACCATTTGTCAAATATCCTGGGTCCAAATGTGGTTCCTTCTTGTTTTACCAGCTGTTCGCCTCAGACGTCTCATCTCTCGGGTGGACATTTTTCTCTCAAGACCAAGTTTGACACAGGTAGGTAACTATTACTGAGTCAAAAGAAGAATCCTTTTTTTTTCATCCTGTTAATTTAAGTAACGTGTCTTAAGCATAATTTATGTTCTATTCTGCCCAATAAACTGTGTCCTAGACCCACTTTCTGACTTTCAAATTAAAACATGTGACTTATTTTTTATCTTTCAATGAAATACTGTATCTTCATGACTTTTTTTGAGCATCCCCTAGAAGTACTGCTATACCGGGGCAATCCTTCAAAGTCTGGCCTTGTGGATCGTTTGGCTTTGCGGCTCTCTCATTATTGCACCGATATTACTAGCGCTGACCAGACACAAAGTGACATATCACGAGTCACCCAAACAGGTTTAGTAACCTGAGGGGAAAAGCTTCACTACTTTAGTAGATCTTAGCCAAATGGCAGAGAAGTGCCGTCATAACATCAATCACAAACTTTGACAAGAACTTGCCTTCAGCTACATCACAGGTTTAATAAAGAAAAACAAGAAAGTGACGACATTGATATAAAAACATACTTAATGCCACCTGTGTATTGACAGACTGTTCGCTTGTTGACCTCGTGTTCTCTGCAAAGGATTTGTCCCTTGTGGCCAGGTAGTCGAAAATACAAGCATCGTTGTCACCACAGATGCTTGTGTTTAGGGATGAATTATCTTTCATTTCATCTTTGAAAAAGGGAATGAACTCTGGATGCCTGTAATTAGCTGGTCCCTCCCCAGCAGGATAAGTGAAGATGCTGTTGTTCATTGTGACCTCCCCTGGAAGGAAAAAAACATACATGGAAATGATGACCCAGTGGAGTATATGAGGTTTCAATGCAATTCAAGCAGCTTGCATTTTTGAAAGCAATGGTTACCAACACTTAGGCTAAGCTTTAGTCTATAAATATTTTAAGTAATCTTTTTATAGATACCTTATTCAATGTATAAATTCTTTTTATGATAAGCATTTAATTTTTTTCTGTTTTACACTCCCTGAATTTTTTTCTGTATCCCCCTATTCTTTCTCATGATTCGTTCTTCATCGTTTTCTACTTTCTTCATGTACAGGCCTATGATCACGTCAACCCATATTTTTCCAGTCAACCACATTCTGCACTATGGTTTCCAAATGTTTTATTTTGTTGGTGTCCCAACAGGACACTGGTGTATGACTGCTGTACTTTTCTTGTAAGCCAGTAAGCCTGTTTATCTCACTATAGGTCAGGTGATTTATTGGCTTGACTGGTGTCCACAGATGATCAGAATGTTTGTCTTATGTTGTTCCTTGCCCTAGACTATCAGAATATCTGTCCTGTGTTGTCCCTATTCCTAGACAATCAGGATATCTGTCATGTGTCTTACTGACTATGCCATACAATATACAAATCAGAATGTCTGTCATTTGTCTTACCGACAATGCCACACAATCTACAAATCAGAATGTCTGTCATATGTCTTACCGACTATGTCATACAGTCTAAAAATCAGAATATCTTTCCTGTGTCTGCACGCCTACTCACATGGTTTGCCAAAGTTCTCAAGAATATTCCTCTCTGTCTTGCTTTTGTTCACATCCAGTGTTGTTCCATCAGGCAAAATGAAGTCATCATCTGCCTTCCCATTGAAGTTTCCCAGCAGACCGCTAACATTACCTTGAAGACTTTTAGCAACCTCCACACTGACTTCAAGACTTCTGATCCCCATGAAGAATTTCAAGCTGACACCTCAATAGGCAAATGAAGATAAAATTTCAGCATTTCCAAAAGGCTGTGTAAACTAAGTCACATTGAATCAAATGTCTTGGTAAGAATACTAATCCCATCTATACGCTAAAATTGAAGATGTACAATGCAATAAAAACATAATTTTTATTTCATAGTAGAAATGGTCGTTTTTTAACTAAGGGTCCACCATTCTATTATTAAACATGGTTGGAATATTAATGACATCAGATCTCCAGGTCCAGTCTTTCTCTTCTGTTTCTGGACACACTAATTATTGATGTATGTAGTCATTAAAGCTTCATTACTACAGTGCTATCAGATAAATTGTGTCACACTATCTCCAAGATCTTGAAACATTCACCTTTGACGACACATAAGTAAAATTATAACTTTCTTACCAGAAGGAAAATTGGCAACCAAATTTGTTTTGCCGCTACTCTCTTCCCTCACAACGGTGAAGTTCTCCAGAGACTTTGAGTAGTTTTCAGCAGCATAAAATTCAGTGGTGATGTCGACGCCGTCAGAAAATATCACCATAGCTGGGGAGGTAATAGTGGAACAACAAAATGTAATGAAAAATGTTTTAAGTAACAACATTCTGTATTAATTATGATAAGAGGCGGAGAGAGTGACAGATTTTTTTTTCTACAAATGACTTAAATATTGCTTAATGTTCTCTAATGAAATGGAATTAAAATAGTAATTTATTTTTGTTTGATGATCCAACTTTCCACATGTATTTGAATATGCTATTTATCCACTCCATCGTTTTCTTTCAGAATAATCTGTATACCAAAAGTTATTCGCACAAAATGTTAACTTGGCAGCATAAAATGTTAACTTAGTAGCTGTACATACTTAGTGGCACCAAATGTTAACTCAACAGCTGTATATCAAATGTTAACTTAGTAGCTGTACATACTTAGTGGCACCAAATGTTAACTCAACAGCTGTATATCAAATGTTAACTTACTGACACCAAATGTTAACTTAGAAGCTGTATACCAAATGTTAACTTAGTGGCGCATCTTCCAACCATATACATGAGCAACTGAATGAAATTCCATGACCAAACCAAACCCCATAGACCTCTGCATCCATTTATCAATGAACATAAATATGTACACCATTCACATGAAATGAATAGAAAGTTAGAAAATAAAACATAAGGTTATATTTAGGTTACAAAACCCAGGTTATCTGCCCCTTTTAGAAACTATAAAGATGTGAGAGGTTACTTAACTAGTATTTCAAGTATTTTTCAGCATGATCTTTCAAGTTTGACATATTATAAAATGGCACCTCCTATTTGAAAGCTCATGGTTGAGTCTTCTGGTATTTCAGTATCATTTTTTTTAAACAGTGGCGACATCATGTTATCACACAGCAACCACGTGCTAATTGTAATCTCAAATTAAATCTTAAAATCACGTCTATTTTGATTAACCACCCGACAACATAAAGATTTAGCGACTCAGATACTCACAAGTTCTCTTATGGGACAACTCCACCTGCAGTTTACCGTCATTTCCATCTCTGACGGCAAAGGCAACAAAAACTGTGGCGTTAGTGATGGTACCATCGGCAGCATCTGCCCGGTCGGTTCTAGCCTATGAACAACCAAACATACACTCCCTGAACTCAGTGAGATGAACAACAAAAAATGCATTGCTTTTATTTTCAGTGAGATGTGGCTCACAAAAGGGATATTTAATCTTTGGGAACTGGTTTCAGTAAAAAAATATTAAAGAGACAAGACATAAGAAACAAAGAATTAAGTGAGCCATATCAGGTGACCAAATTGTACAATGGCAGCTTAATTTTAGAATTTCCGAAAATAGTTTTTTAAACTTTTATTTATAGTATTTAATTGTAAAAAAAAAACTTTGAAAAAAGGTTTCATTTTGTTTTAAATAACTTTTGTAATTAATTTTAAAAAATTCTATTTCAGAGGCACTCACATTTTCTTGAAAAACTTTTACCTTTTGAAAACAATTTAACAAATCATTTTGTTCAGAACAAAATTAAAAACTGTCTAGTCCATCTTACTTACCTGCAGCATAAATCTGATACTTGGTATTGTCAACAGGACGTACTCAGCCCATCCGTTCAAGGTGTAGTGTCTCTCATCTAGTGTGGTGATGTGAGGGTCTCCCCACAGGGAAGCTGGGAAAAATAGAAAATCAAAATCTTATCTTATGTTATGCCAAAGTCACTTGCATATGTTTTCTTGATTCAAATTTTGATGATTTTTTCCCTCTGATTAATAAATGTGTTCATATAATTAGATCAATGGTTGATTCACTATGATGTTGAGTGCCAATTATATCTAACTTCCATCCAAACATATACCCATAACCCTTTCGCTACAGATGATGTCGACGCAGCGGCACAATCACCCACTTTCAATTACCAAGGACGATACATTGTCGTTATAACAAAGAGGCAAAGAACTTTATGAAATACCAAGGACGTCACGTTGAAGTCATATTTCAATGCTATATATTTCTTTATTCGTTAATCTATAGAGAAGTTAAAAAGCGAAATGGATAGATAATGAAAAATTCCAAAAATTTCTTCTTTTTTTTTTTTTTAAATATTGTTTTTATTAAAAAATATTTTAAATTGCTGAGTCAGCAAAAATCAATACCAAAACCAGTGGTAATGAAAGTGTTAAAGAGCCAACACTCTTCATCAAAGTCCCTACTGAGAGTTCCCAGTGTGGATGGACACTAAAAGAAGTCATATGGAGTGCACTCTTTTGAAGCTATGGCGCCTAAACTATGGAACAGTTTGCAGCAGTCTTTGAGGGAAATAAAAAATGATTAAAAATCCTTTAAGAAACATTTAGACTGTTTTTTCTTTAAATAAAGTTTAGGACATGAGAGCGCTGTGACCATGCTAGAATAGCATGGAGACAAGGGCTATACAAGAAATCAATCATCTTCATTATTCTAAAGGTTTTATGGGGGAAGCCATACTTTTTTGGTTGCCCATTACCTAGATTTTATTTAAGGGTTTCCTCACATAGGATTTGAATAAATCCCAAGCTGGACATAAGACTGTAAGTAAAATTACATACATGGGTGGATGAAGAAGGGTTGTGGGGTGGGTAGGAAAGCTCATGGACTTTATCGAACCCATCTTAATGGTCAAATACAAAATTGTTATACCTGTAACAAAGTTGGAATACGATGAACAGCCTTGATCCGGCCTGACTTCATTAAACCGGTCGCAGTGAGCTCTGCTGGCATCTCTACAGCACCAGTTTTTAGGGTTGAAGTCCTCCTCCTGTGACCTGCGGGGATCTCTGAAAGGGTCCCGGGTTAGGACATGGCCAGCTTCAAGTGTACCTGTAATGTATGTCGCCTGCCGCCAGGCTGCCAACCAATTGTTCCAGCCACCGGTCGGCTGTCTGAACAAATAACAACACAACTGTGGGGAAGAGAATTTTAAAAAATTTTTTTTTTTTTTTTTACAATTTTTTTTTTTTTAAGAAATATTTAAAACATAAACACAAATTTAATTTTCCTTTCATTCTCATAAAAACAATTTTATTAACCTTTAAAAAACACATTACATTTTAAGTTGCTTATTACTGCCGCCAGGCTGCCAACCAATTGTTCCAGCCACCGGTCGGCTGTCTGAACAAATAACAACACAACTGTGGGGAAGAGAATTTTAAAAAATTTTTTTTTTTTTTTTTACAATTTTTGTATCTTTAAGAAATATTGAAAACATAAACACAAATTTAATTTTCCTATCATTCTCATAAAAGCAATTTTATTAACCTTTAAAAGACACATTACATTTTAAGTTGCTTATTCTATAACAATATTGAGCTGATACGCTTGAAAATAATTTTAAAAAATTAAGTTGTAGATTGCATTATTTCATAAATGATATAAGTTGTAAATTAAGCCAAGAATAATTTGAGTTAATGAATTTTATCTTGCCAATACACACTACACACATTTTCATTTCTGCAATTTTTCCCCAAAATTTTTATTTCTTTTCATTGTTTTTATATTAGTGGTGGTCTATAAAGAATAAAAATTTTCTGGTCACTGTACAAATTTTTTTTTTAGTTTGCTAACTCAGGTTTTAAAAATATGGAACAATTAATGCAGATAAAAATAATGTTTTTTTAAAATATTTTGTTTAGTAGCAATAATTTAATTATTATCTTGATTTATCCCTTATATATTTAAGTACCATACGATTAAATAATCTGCATGTGATATGTACTACCTCTATGTTGACAAACCAATACTGCATCAAGTTTGGCCCAGAGAGTTCCGTGGATAAATCAATGTTTACAATTGGACTCACTTTGTTTAGAGGGTTTCCAGGAAAGTTCCGGCTCATGTAAACGGATGTAATAGCATAGCAGTAAATACTATGGTTCACTCCCCTTCTTTCTACCAGCCACCACTGTCGCCCCAGTCTATCCATTGTACATGGGCACTGAGGCAACTGGTTGATATGGGCGGTGTCCAGCTTGCCCCAGTTCTGCTGGTAGAAGGTGGAGCACATCTGTGCTGGGTTGGATGCCTCACCAACCTTGACGATGTAAGTTCCTATTCGACCTGGAAATGCATTAGAGCCATCACATATTTGGTATAACTTTATAAGCAGTTTAACAATATCTTGTTATTAATTCTCCATAAATGTACATAATACTTGTACATATATTTACAATGTACATAATGCAGTGTGCATATAATTACAATGTACATAATATTATATGCATATATTTACATGTACTTAATATTATATGCATATAATTACAATTTACTTAATATTATATTCATATAAATACAAAATACATAATATTGTGAGCATTTATTTATAATTTAAATAATATTATATGCATATAATTACAATATACATAACTTTTTGTGCATTTATTTTCAATGCACATAATATTTTATGCATAAATTTTTGTGTGCATATATTTTCAATGCACATAATATTGTGTTCATATATGTACAATATGCATAATATTGAGTGCATATCTTTTCAATGCACATAATATTGTTTGCATATATTTATACTTAATGGTCAAATATATATACTTTTGTCAAAATTTTGTTTTTCAAACCCCTCTTCGTAAAAGTTTTAAAGCAAAATGATCACATTACTTGAGGTGAGTGTTGTCTTTCTATCGCTTGACCTCTTAAAGCTATCTCAAACTTTTCAGGATGATGGATAACAAGAACTTATCCCCATTGCAACAGGAACCAGTTCTACATTTATTTAATATTTGATAACTTTCCATCTTCTTAAATACTCCGCCTCTTGCAGGGCATGACTTTGAGAAACACTTTCTATGTCTTTTCCTTGTCTTTTTATGAAGATGATAATATATTAATCTTACTGTATTGTCATTTAAAATGTTAATGATATGTTTGTGTTGCGTTGTTATTTGGAAAATCTCATGAACCCAATGAAAATTTACATTTTTTCATTAACATTATAAAATCTTATTGTTATGAACTAAATTTTGTTTAATATTCCATTGACAATGTAATATCCAACTGACCTGCAGTGCCCTTAACTTTCCCTATTTCAGTTGTAAATAATGAAGATGTTGTACTAAGGGCTACAACATTCTCCTCGTGAGCAAATCCAATGGCAACCACTCTGTCTGGAACATGCTGCCAGTTCATCCCATCCTTCTTGTAGATGGTGATGGCATATGCCTTTTCCCCGTTGGTTGCATAGATAACTTGAAATGTGTTGGTCTCTTGAATCTAAAATAAGAAAATTGGATGGAATGATATATATATGTTGGCTTCAATTATTCTTCTGTTCTGAGTGCTACTTAATAATTTTTTTTAAAAAGTACAACTCTTATGAGAAATTATGGGGACAAAGCTAAGTTTAAAATATGGGCAGATCATGACATTCAATGAAAAGCAAAAACAAACATTCTTAAACCTCTAATCCTCCCAAGAAATAAGCAGACTATTAACAACCAAAGTCTTAATAATAAAAAGAACAGAGACCATAATTATATTGAACACATTTTAATAAATTCACAGCATTTGACAAGTTTGTAGAGCAATAGTCAATAGGCCTACTAAAAGCCAAAGCGTTGGTAGTCCTGTAGACGGCCTGTGTATAATGGTGAAAAGACTTCCTGCAATTCAACATGCCTACACCTTATCCTAGCTCAGCATGTTTTGTCTCAATGTGTGGTGATATTGTTAAATCTGAACTCACCTGTCCGTTGTTCTGCTCTGAGTACCATGAAGCATGAGGCTGCAAGTTCACCCAGGTCACAATAAGTACAGTTGTAGCTTTAAAGTTGTCACTCCTGGCTGGCTCATAAAATTCTTGAACCTGGAGTTATTAAAGTTTAAAAAGTAAAAAATCTACAAACCAGAATGAATTAGCTGAATCACTAAATGAATTGGAGAATGAATGCATCTTTCAAATTGTTTATTTTATTATCTTCATTTATTTTACCAAGTAGGCCTACTAAGTTTTTAAAAGAAGGGGAGTGAATCCAACCCAGAAACTTTACATAAACACGTAAATAACATCATGGCCCGATTGTCGTGTTTAACTGAAATTTGATAAACAAATGAAGTTGTTTTTTAAAAACTTACTTCATAACTTATTTATTAACTTCAAAGATGTGCAAAAGTACAGACCTGCTGTGTTGCCTTTTGTAAAACTGCAGTACGATCTACTGAATAGAAATATGTCCCAGATATTCGGACCTCCTCGTACAGATGATAATACACATATTGATTGTCTTTGAAAGAATCAACATAACTCCAAAATGGAGCCAACACATTCTGACCCCGGGAAAAAGCATAATGGAGATCAGGGTAGTAAGGATTCCTTGGTTCCTCAAAAGTCAGTGCACCGTTCGCTGATACCTTTAAATATTCAATGGAACAATATATCCTTTATTACTATCCAGCCAAGATTCAATACCAACCAGATTAATATATGAATATGACTGTCTTGTCCAACAATAAATATTTTTATTTAATTGTTTTGCCCCAACATATTTATATATTAGATTAATATAACGTATTGTAACACATACGACATACGGTTAACAAAAAACTCTCTCCAGACCAGAGTAACATAAAACAACAGATAATTAAAATTATAAAACTAAAACTGGTAAATCAACACATTGCATAACAAAATAATATAATTAAAACTTTCTTGCCCTAACACAACTGATTACTGCATTTATATTTATATATCGCCATCGCCATATTTATATTTGCAATGAGTTTTCTCATCAGTTTCTTTCGGCAGATCAGCAAAGCATTCATAAAAGATGACAATGAAATATGATGTGTATATTTGAACGTATGCCAATCGGACCCCCACCCCCTTCTTTTTACTCACATCTCCTGTTACATTTCTATCCTGGTTTCATCACTGCGTATGTTACGTAGTTACATTACTTACATGGGCATAACTCATGATCTTAGGTCCGAATGGTACGCCATTACTGAAATAAATAGTCTCGCTCAAAGCGTTCCATTTTAGGTTCAACTTCTCATCCCCCCTTTCAGTTCCGTACGGGAAAAAAGCTGAAGGAAGAGAAATGACAAGGTTTTAAAATATCGTGTTCAATGTTTTGACTATGGCATAAAATAAACATTATGAAACGTTGGTTAAAATCGGTGCTCCTCAACCTTTTCCCTCATACGGCGCACCTAGACTTAGACACTTCCCAGATTTCCGCGGCACAGCAAAGCAACACTATTTTGAAAAAAAACCAAAAAAAAAACCCTGCTTTCCCGTTGTTCACAGGTAGGAAATAGTGGAACAAGCTTGGTGGACGCTTAAAATATAAAGACAGGACAATAAAAAGAACGTTAACATGTACCAACATATTAATTGTGTTTCCCTATTATAGGCGTGAAATTAACGTGTGCAAATAGAGCTTTGCAGCGACCACCAGCTACTGCAGCGACTACCATTTAATCCAGTGACTGCCAACTTACTTATGCTATTACGTGTATTGCGACACTATTTCATTGGATGCTAAAAAAGGAAACACACCACACAATAATAATGGGTGCTGAATGTAAAACATACCAAGTAAGTAACACAGAAAGTGGCACGAAGGACTTTAAAAAGTGATTTGACGGTTCAGCCTATGCAATTTGACTTCAAACATTAAACTTGCTATTTAGACGATAACTGTCTGCTTCGCTTTAACAAATGGTCTCCGCGTGGTTTTCACCCGATTAGAGTTAGTGGAATTTCGTCACGGCACGCCCGCCTCGCTGCACAGCTGCACACTAATGTGCAGCGGCACTCCAGTTGCGGAGCCCTGAAGAAAATAGCGCTTAATATTATTTTCTAAGAATGTAAATATATTACACATTTAGAATGTATAAGCACAATGCATACACATATGCATGTATATATCCATGTTTTATAATTATAATGTTATAACTTACATGGTTGTTCAGCGGCAGCTGAAAAAATAGAATATACGGTAAATAAAAAAATATATAAATAAATAACTATACATATGATATATGTATTCTACTTTACAAAAGCTAATTGCTCAAAAAATATTTGATAATAGATCAGAGATGAAAACAGTTTGTATTTATGTAGTTTATCTAATGCAGGGCTTGGGAAGCAAGGGTAAATTGCCCCAAATGGGTTAACATTGAAAATCTTGGGATTTTTATGAGGGTTCAATAAAAATAAAACAAATTATTTTTTTTTTAAAAAGCGCTTTACTTGTTTAAAACATTATTTTTTTTTCAGGCAACTCTGCATCTGGCACGCGTATGTAAGAGAGACCCACCCAAGATGAAGTTATTAGTAGTGTCTCAGCATTTAGCGTAGCCTAAGTCTCTGTTTTGTGTGTTTAAATCAATATGTCCTACTCAACTATTTTTTTTCCTTACGATAAAAAATAATGGGTTTTAATCTTGTTTATTGTACCGTATTTATTAGTGGGAATTTTTGTTTTAAAATAAATATTTTTATTTTAAAATTGTCTGTGCCTTGTTTTCTTTTGGATCGAGAGGTAAAACGTCAGCCTAAATATAATATATTTTGGGGTTTAACTTAGTGATAACTAAAACAAAGTTCCACAAGCCCTGATCTAATACATTGACAAGAACCATCAGCAGTAAGTGTAATGCAAGTATACTTTTTTTTTTCTCTAAAAGTTTAATAATGGTTTAATAAATGAAAATCTATGGAAAAGGATTTAACTCAAACCATTACAGAATGAACATTTACTGGATAGATGGACAAAAAATAAGAAAGATAAAGACTTTTATTTTTTTACTTACGGACATATGTTTCCGTGGAAGGCGCTGATGCAAATACAAAAGAGAGAGTTGGTTCTACCGTGTTTAGGGCTGCGTTTGTTGTTGAATCCATAAACCCTGAAAATATAGTGCCACCTTCTGTGGTAATGGTATCTACTAACAAATCTGTTGTAGATTCCTCTGAAGATTGTGCAGCATCTGTTGTTGATTCGGCTGCTGTCATTTCTGTTGTGGATTCTTCAGAGCTTTGGGGATTTTCGGTTGTTGAATACTCATTCCCTAATAATATAGTGCCACCTTCTGTTGTAATGGTATCTACTAACAAATCTGTTGTAGATTCCTCTGAAGATTGTGCAGCATCTGTTGTTGATTCGGCTGCTGTCATTTCTGTTGTGGATTCTTCAGAGCTTTGGGGATTTTCGGTTGTTGAATACTCATTCCCTAATAGTATAGTGCCACCTTCTGTTGTAATGGTATCTACTAACAAATCTGTTGTAGATTCCTCTAAAGATTGTGCAGCATCTGTTGTTGATTCGGCTGCTGTCATTTCTGTTGTGGATTCTTCAGAGCTTTGGGGATTTTCGGTTGTTGAATACTCATTCCCTAATAATATAGTGCCACCTTCTGTTGTTTCGTGGCTCATTTGAGCATAAGCTTGCATGTCTGCAGTAGATTCTTCCGAGCTTGTAGGATAGTCTGCAAATTTTCAGTACACATGAAAAGAAAACCGGTCTCCGGAGTCTCTCTCTTTTTCACAATCTCAGTCTCAGCTAAACCTTCCCCCTCTCCCTTCAACAATCTCAGTCTCAGCCAAAACTTCCCCCTCTCCCTTCAACAATCTCAGTCTCAGCCAAAACTTCCCCCTCTCCCTTCAACAATCTCAGTCTCAGCCAAAACTTCACCCTCTCCCTTCAACAATCTCAGTCTCAGCAAAAACTACCTCCTCTACTTTCCACAATCTCAGTCACAGCCAAAATTACCCCCTCTCGTTTCCACAATCTCAGTCACAGCCAAAATTACCCCCTCTCGTTTCCACAATCTCAGTCTCAGCCAAAACTACCCCCTCTCTCTTCCACCCCCTCTTACAAACACACACATTGTTTTCGTTGCATACACAATACGGCCATTTCCCTATTATAATAATTTTAAAAAGGATGAAATTATTTGTTGATACTGGAGCTGTGTTTTTAGACATTTTTTATTTTATTTTGAAGTTCTACTTACTAATTAATGTAACGCATTCATGACATAACATGCACCAGAAACGTAATGGCGACTATTTGTGAGACATGAAACGAAAGAGGAGGCTCTTCCTACCTTGACATGAAGAAACGACCAGCGTTGCCATTAAAATGAACACACTCCATGCAGATCTCTTCATCACTGCCATCTTTGACATCATGGCATCATAAGCTCAAGCTGCTCACCTGGGTATCTAGATAGTTACAAGACAGATGTTTAGGACGATTGCGTTATGAATATTTAGTTGAGAGGAAGAAACCAACTGTGGACATCCCTATGAGAGGGCGTATGGCGTTTCCCCGGGATGGGAAGTGGGTGGGGGGAGGGAGATTTCAGGACGTAAATATACCATCCCGACATGAGAAATTCAACACTCGACGCTGGGATAGCAACTTCACCGGTCGACCGGATGTCCTAGGGCTGAATTGGCCTCCGTTGGTACCCGATCGAGTGGGTGCTGTCGGGGGGTGTCCTGGCATAGGGAGATCTCCTACGGGCCGCTTCGCGGATCAACACCGGGCTTAGAGTATACAAATCTAGGTACAAATCTCAACTTCTTGCCGACGCCATTTCCAAATATACGATTTCAGTTATGACTGATTCACACCTAAAAGACTATGCAAAATGTAAATTCATACTACACTCCTTTGGCGGGCTTGACAGGAACCTAAAAAAAAAAATATAACCACCTTGAGGTACATATATCCAAGGAAGCCCTACGAATAGAATGGACCTATAGTGTGGCAGATAAAGACAAGGGTATTCATCAGCAATGGGCAGGACACCTAGAGAGAATGGACCTATAGAGTGGCAGATAATGACAAGGGTATTCATCAGCAATGGGCAGGACACCTAGAGAGAATGGACCTATAGAGTGGCAGATAATGACAAGGGTATTTATCAGCAATGGGCAGGACACCTAGAGAGAATGCCAAATGACAGAGGAACGAAGAGGGTGCATCACCAATACCCCAGAGGAAAAATGCTCAAAGGCAGACCTAGGCTTAGGTGTATGGATGATGTGGAAAAAGATCTACAGCAGCTGAAAGTCCAAGCATGGAAAAGAAAGGCATTAGTTAGGTCTGACTGGAAGGAAGTGGTGAGGCAGGCCAAAGCCCTACATGGGCTCTAGCGCCACAGGGATGGATGGATTCATCAGCAAGGGTCCAAACACTTCACGGTCTTTAGTACGTTTCACCCAGCGGAGGCAGATCCGTCTCTATATGATCAATCCAACCCTAAACATAGCCAAACGCTGTGCTCTCTTTCCCTTGGTTTCTTTTGTGTGTACCAGTGGCGTAGCTAGGGGGTGCGGACCGTACTGGGGGACACCATCTGAGAAGGTGACACCCTCTCAGAAAGTGACACCATATTTTAAAAAAAGTGCATATTTATAGAGCATGACACCATATTGAAAAAAATGCATATTTACAGAGCAGACACTGCTCGGTCGAATCGAATTTCATATTAGAATAACCGATTACACATATATTTCTACACATGAAACCAATCTGATTTGGCTCTATTATCAAATGATAGAGCAGCTTGAAGGAAATTGATCTATTGATTGACAGTTTTGCAGCTTTGAGGACCAGGACTTAACGTTGTTATAGTTCTTAAATACACTTACCCCCTGGTCATCAATTATTTTGTTTTTGTTCTTGTCATTGTCATAATGTGTACTAATTTTAACAAAAAGAATTCCATTGTGGAAGTCGGGGGGGGGTGGATTGGTGACACCATGAGTTTACCGCACAGGTGTCATCAACCCTAGCTACTCCAGTGGCGTACACAACTTAATCTTTTAAGATCCTATGTGATCTGCCATCCTTCAAAAAAATCTATAAAAAAATCACGATATTCTGCCATTTAAAATTGTCGTTACTATACCCCCTTGGAGCCTATTGCGGTATAATAGATAATGGGCTTTTCCTTTCTATGTATGGGGCTCACTGTTGTACCAGCTCACAAGTTAAGGCAACGAGGCCCGGGAAATAAAATAACAAATTTGAGCCGTGTTAGCGGGATTGCGTTGGATTCAAGTA